AAAAAAAAAATACAAATCAACCTGTTTCTCGAACCTGTTCGAACTTCCGCTTTTGCATTTTTAAAATAGATTCCGGTAAATTCCATTCTAACGTCAATAAGTTCCATTTCAGTTATGCTATTTGTTACATTCTTTTCAAATTGTAACATTTTTTAGACTATTGTTCTTCGCGCATTTTTCAAATTAATTTCTTTCGTTATTGTAATAATTTCACAATCTCCTTATTTAGAAAATTATATACCACTGTAGAAAGTTAATCAAGTAGAATTAACTTAGGTGTGCGCTCGGCTACGCCCATTCCAGCCACGTACGGCAACTGTTAGGAACGCCCAACTTGGGCGTGCGCTTGGCCACGCCCATTTTGGCCACATATGGGCAACTATTAGGAACGCCCAACTTGGGCGTGCGCTTGGCCACGCCCATTTTGGCCACATATGGGCAACTATTAGGAACGCCCAACTTGGGCGTGCGCTCGGCCACACCCATTCCAGCCACGTATGCCCAACTTAGGCATGCATCGTTCCTTCCGAATTAGGACCTAATGCGGTAACGATTAGGCTTGCAGCATTTAGGTGTGCCTAATCGTTTCCGCATTGGGCCCACATTCGTCTTTAGGCATGCCTAACTGAAATTCTAGTCGGGCTGCTTTCCATTATCTCCCTCGTTTTCTCAGAAAAGTATAGAAATCTAAATCGCTCAAAAATTTAAAAAAAAGTATGACAATCTAAATCAAAGGTGTAGTTACGAATGTCAATTTTAAACAAATCCAGACTAGTATTCTCCACCTCGTCGACGACCTCTCCGTTTCAGGGTTCACTTTCATCGGCGTGATAGTGATTCTGAACATGCTGATCGCCTGTATGTCGAACACGCTGACGAATGTCACGGAAAACGTGATCGTCGAATGGACATTTGCCCGAACCGAGGTTCGAAATCACGAGCACCAGGCGATACCTCAACGTAGCTTGCAAGATCGATCTCACGAGATGTATCTATCTTTCAGACTTACGTCGATTTTATGCTCACGACCACGCTTCCACCGCCGTTCAACATCGTTCCAACAATTATCGGTATTCAACCGGTGATCGAATACGTGAAAGTATTGCTGAAACCACCGACGGATAAGCGTGCACGATGGGACACGACTCACTGCTGTTTTATCGTTAGTAGTACTGTGAAAAACATGGGGCAATTCAGATGCTAATCTTGAACGTTTTACTTGAATTTTTAAATGCAATATTAATAAGAGGAAAAGGGAGTGGTGAGGTGTGTTGATACATTTGTGTTTATTGCGAAAGGAGAGGAGTGTTAAAAATGAAATTAAATGATGGAGAATAGAAAATTTGTAATATGTACTTTTTTCAATTTATCGTGAAAAGAGGAAAGTGAAAATTAAATTAAACGGTGGAGAACAGAAGATTCGTAGCATGTATTTTTCTTCATTTATTGCTAAGGAAGAAAGTGTCAAAAATGAAACGAAACATAGGAATTTGTAATATGTATTTCTTTTAATTTATTGTGAAAGTAAAAGTGTCGGAAATGAGATTAAACGACGTGGAGTAGAAAATTTATGATATGTATTTTTCTCAATTTATTGCGAGGGTAGAAAATGATGAAAAATAAAATTAAATGGTGGGGAATAGAAAATTGACAATATGTATTTTTCTCAATTTATCGTGAAGGCAGAACATTGTCAGGAACGAAGTTAAATGGCGAAGAACAGAAGATTTATAATATGTATGAAGGTAGAGAATTGTCAAGAACAAAGTTAAATGGCGGAGAACAGATTTACAATTTTGTATTTTTCTTTATTAAAGTTGGATTTTTAAATTACTTTGAATAATAGAATTTGTTTGGTATAGCAAGAGAATAAAATATGAAACTTACTTAAATTTGCATTACAATTTTCTACAATGCTTGCAACATTACAATTTCATTTTCAAAATTATTTCTCTCAAATCTTTACTTATCCTTCTTTTGTGAAGAAACAAATTCTTCTCAATTGTGCTACAATTTACAATAACAATTAGTAAATCATTCTGTCTAAAGGAACAATCGAACGACCTTCCTTTCCTCCGTTTTGAATATTAAATTGAATTGAAAATTAAACATTACCATTCGAACATTGAAACCCTAATTTCCATAGAAACACATTTTCTTCGAACAGGAAACACTAGAGAGCAGCATGGACAACCAGTTCTCCCTGACAATGTCGCAGCTGGTGCAGCGCTACTTCCGGAAGAAGGACAAAGAGTTGGACGAGAACGAGATGGAAAGATTGACGAAAGAAATCGTGGACCTGAGAAATCTTTTGAGAGAAGCTCTGACCACCGAATGAGTAACGAAAAAAGAACAACACGAAATTAAGCATCCCGAGGACCTCGCGATTACCTCCAACGTTAAGCAAACAGGAAGTGCTCTTTCGTTCTCCCTTTCTTTCAACGCGACACGCGGACGAGAGACAAAGGAGGAGAAAGAATTCTCGTCTTGAAGATCTTAATTAGCCAGAAAGGTCAAAGCGGAATATCGGTTCTTTGTGGAGCACGGATCGATCTCACGAGATGTATCTATCTTTCAGACTTACGTCGATTTTATGCTCACGACCACGCTTCCACCGCCGTTCAACATCGTTCCAACAATTATCGGTATTCAACCGGTGATCGAATACGTGAAAGTATTGCTGAAACCACCGACGGATAAGCGTGCACGATGGGACACGACTCACTGCTGTTTTATCGTTAGTAGTACTGTGAAAAACATGGGGCAGTGAACAGTGGATTTCAATTTGGGATCCGTGGAAAAGCAAATCGTGCGTCAAAGGGACGATTGAGATGTCAAGGAGCGACTGCTGTTCCTTAAACAAGAGGGAAAGAATATTTCTTCCGCCCTTGTTGCTTCTGAAGAGAAACCTTGGGACATTTTCTCTGCTAGGAAACCGGGGATAAATGGTGTATTGATTAATACGGTTAATTTAGGGAAATTGCAAATTTTTTGGTATTAATTTTCATGCTTTTTTTGGGAGAAATTGGGGGTGAAATTGAAGTGGTAGTGTAATATGGTAAATGTAATGTGGAAAATGTAGAAATAAAATTGAGTGTATTTGTAAAGAATACATATATATTTTTTATTAATAGTGTAGTATCGGGGCCTCCATGCCCAAATATAGGAAACCGGCACGGGACAATAGAGAGGGAGTGGTTGGCGTAGCGCGCAAAGCCTCGGCTTGCTAAGCCGAAGGTCCCGAGTTCGATTCCCGTGTTGGGTCCTTCAATATTTTTCCGTCGTCGGTTCCAACATATGGGGGCTCGTCCAGGATCGAGGCATCTACGGCTGCACGAAGCCAGGTGCCTGTGAGATGAAAACATGTGAGAGGGTTTGCGCGTCTCCCAAAAAGAGTTGAGAAACAGAGTTTCGGCTGAGAGTGCCACTGTGTGGGGGAGTGTACCCGAAAGTGTTGAGTTGAGTTGTGTTGCACTGAGGACATTCGAGGGCGAGAATTGTCAGTTCAGGATGGCCGAGTGTTGTAGTATCGGGGCCTCCATACCCAAAAAATAGGAAACCGGGCACGGGACAATAGAGAGGGAGTGGTTGGCGTAGCGCGCAAAGCCTCGGCTTTGGTAAGCCGGAAGGTCCCGGATTTCAATTCCCATTGGGTAATAAAGCTAATGTGGGCCTAATGCGGCCCTAACGCGGCTTTCCCAATTAGGCGGTCGTGAATGTTCCGCGTTACATGCCGCATGCGGGCCTAACAGGCAAATTAGGCTAGCCTAATGCGGACCTAATGTCTGCCTAACTGAAATATCGAGTCGGGTTTGTTTCACTCGGCACGCTCGAACTCCACTCCGAAGCCTCATTTCCAAGAATTGGTGGGGACAGCGACGGACGCTTAAGTGTGCAAAAATGCGTACTCTTATGTGTGCACTACTGTAGCTGTTAACGAGCTGTCAAATATATTTTCATCGATCTCGATGGAGCGTAAAATAAACGCTTGAATTTTCGTACGTGCTCGACGGATATTCCAGTGCATATTTGCGTTATAGTTACTCGTTAATTACACGACGACGAAGAACGAGTAATTAGCGATGAAACTGGGTTCGAATTTTCGTTAAGCTTGGTTTAATAAACCTCCACGTGTCTGGCTAACTAAATTTTCACGAGGAGCTCGTCGGGAATAAATATTCCACCCTGAAATGAAACTTTTTTATTCGAATATTTCGCGTCCGGGTAATAATCAGATAAGTTGATAATATAAAGTACAAGATTAATGTATTCGGGTGTTCTAGTTATTCGTGAGAAATAATAAAAATGAACGATATTATTGTTTTAATTCCAGCTTGTTAAGTAAAACTTTGAATTCAGTTGACACAAAATGGTTGATGAACAGGCTAATGTTGAAGAATTATTAAAAATTTTAATACTGTGTTTTGAGAATAATAATATGTCCTTGACGTTCGTTTCTTTAGTAATGTAATGTTATTTTATTCCACACTGATAATTGTAATTCTGTTTAACTCTAGTATGTGCTTATAAATTTTCTCTTTTCTTTTCCAAGCAATAAAGACCTTGTCTGAATTTAATTTTTGTAAAATGTTTATTTAAAATACAGTTTACAATTTAATTTACCAATAATTTTTGTTATTCAGAATATTTGAGCATTCGATATTTTCGTTTCCAGCTAATAAAGATCTTGTCTGAATTTTATTTTTTTTAATTTCTATTTAAAATATAATATAACATTTAATTTACCAATAATTGTTGTTATTCACAATATTGAGCGTTTCGATATTCTTTTTCTGACGCAGTTCATGTTTCTTTCAAAATCAACCAGTCATGAAGGTAGATCTTCCCCGAAGAAAGAGCTTTTAAGCCGTCTCTCCTCACGCGGCGAAGAAATAAATCGTCGTCATAAGGTCCCGAAGATTCTGAGAGACTACGAGATGTCGTTAACCCTCTTGTTCACGAGCTTTCCAAACATTCCATCCTGTACGTCTGCTTTTGCCTCGTATAAATGCATTTGTCTACCATGGGGTTGCTCTCTTTCAGCGGTGAACTCGCCACGGGAAACAGTCTCCACCGGACGTCCACAGGATTAAGTTCCTTTCGCTTGTTTTATATGGATGCTCCATTTCTGAGAGGTTCCCACGTCTCTCAGAAAGTACGTTCTAAATAAATTAATATCAATTCTCGCGTAAATTGCTCGGTAATAAAATATACGAAAGCTTCGCCTAATGAGTTTTCTTCCAGGATTATTCCTTGGAAACCGACGTCCAGATCGTGGAATGAGTGATTTATCGTTTGCTCGAGGACCAGAAGAAACCAGACGCAACGAAGGCTTTCGGGATTTGGTTCTGCTTAGGCTGCTGTCGGCGTTCAAAGCGGAAAAATCGAGAGCATCGACAGAAATGGAGTATTATCAGGTTAGATGATTTTTGAAATCGAAATATTTTGAATTTTTTCATTTAATAATGGTTGTTGTAAATTAAAGCATAATTGCATGTAGTAAGCAGTTTAGAATTGACAGTTATGATAAATTTTTAATGATTTTAGTATTACTAAGAATATAGATAGTACAGTGAAGTTTCTGGTTTATTTGCAAGTACTTTAATTGTAGAATAATCAGTGTTTCTTGTCAAATAACAGTTTATATGGTAGTTTATAACTATTGGAAGTGTTAAATAAATTTGTCGCATGACATAACTTAATAGAACAGCTTAATTTGTTAATGTTGCATTGAAATAACAATTGCACGTTGTAGATTGGTTAGAAATTGTTTATAACTTTAGTTGAACGTTGAAAAATTAATGTTCTTTTTGGTGTGAATTACAGATGGAACTGTCAGGCCACCACGGGAATCAAGGAAAGGACTTCAACATCGGGAGAAATGAAGAAATGCAATTATTTAAGAAAAAATGAATTATTTATTGTAAGATAAGTGTACAAAATGTATTTTACAAAAGGTTACAATATAACAGAGTTGCATTACAGCATTTCACAGTCTATTTATTTATCCTTTACACACCAAATCCACATCCTTTCGCGAAACACTCGTTATTTAAATAAGTTTCCACTAAAAAATTAAGTAAACTAAGTCCGGATAGAGTTAGGAACGCGTAAAACTTGCGAAATTCGAGCGAAGAACTTGGAGATTTGCGCGGAAATAGCTCAGGGACACCGAAAAATTTCGAATGTCTGAGAAATGGTTGACTTGCACTACTGGCTCGAACAAATTTCGATGTGTGACTTATGGTTGACTCGCAGGATAATTGAAAATTAGACGAAAATCAGGAAGGTCAACCATAAGTCAGACGTCGAAACGCGTTGTCTGAGATATGGTTGATTGTGCTACTAACAAGTTTCAATGTCTGACTTATCGTTGACTCGCAGGAAATCTCGGAAAATTTTAAAATTTCTGAGATTTCCTGCGAGTCAACCATAAGTCGGACATCGAAATTTGTTTAGTAGTAAAGTCAACCATATCTCAGACTCTCGAATTTCTGTCGAAATCGGTAAGTAGTGCAAGTCGACGATTTCTCAGACGCTCGAAAATTTTTCGAAGTGAGCCAGTAGTGCAAGTCAACCACTTCTTAGACGTGCCAGAATTCTCCAAATTCGAAATTCGAAGCGGAAAAAGCAGCTTTATTTGTTAATTCATTAATATATCGATTTATTAAAGTTCCTGTGTTATTTGTAAGTACACTGATTGAAGGATAATTAGTGTTTCTCGTTAAATAGCAATTAAAATTTTTGTTTAAATCAAAGAGTGAAGTTTCAGGCCACCACAGGAATCAGGGAAAGGATTTCAATATCGGGAAAAATGATGTAATGCAATTATTTATCAGAAAATCAATTATTTATTGTAAAATAACTGTAGAAAATGTATTTTACAAAAGGTTACGATATATCAGTATTGTTTCACACCATTTCACACTCTATTCATACATCACACACCATACCCATTTCCTTTTGCGCAACACTCATTCTTTAAATAATATTCCATTAAAAAATTGAATAAACTAAGTCCAGTTATAATTAGAAACGCGTAATAATCGTAAAAATTGAAAAAAATTCAGGAAATTGCGCGAAAATAGCGTCGAGAATGTAGGCTACTTCTGTTAATAGGCAAAATTAAGTTTTCACTAGAGGTCGTAGTCTTTTCCAATCTTTTTTTATTAATCTCAAGCCTCTACAATGAAATTTCTCACCCACATTAACGAAACTGCACGTTCAATTTTATTAACGGAAATCATTCAATCAGAAACCTTCTTATCGCAATATTCGTCGCTTTGATTTTAATTTCAATACATTACGAAATACTTTCCAACGGTCACGAAGCTTCTT